GGAGAGATTACCCTAAGAATGTATATGCATATACGCATAAACCCATTGACACAGACAATAGTATGGTGAGTGCCTGGAGTGGGGGGGCAGGGTGGAGGGGATCAATGGAGGAAAAAAGGGAACATTTATAATACTTTCAACAATAAAGATAAACTTAAATAAAATAATAAAATAAAGTGGGGCTTGTAATCGCCAATTACAACATAATTACTTTGGGAAGAGTCCTTTTGTATCCCCAATAGACAAACATAATCCCTCAATAGTCTTAGTAGTGGTAGGGAGAATGATCCCTGTTCCTTTCTTTAACTGGTTGTGAACTATGAGGAGTCAGGGAGGTTAGCTCTCTGGACGTGGTGCTCAGTGGAAGCGGAGTGGGCCTGGCGGTACAACAGCACGGCGGGAACTAGGCCTCTGCCGATGGGTCGGGATGCTGGAAGGGGAGACTCAGCGAAGGACAGGTTATATCTTTGTACCCAGTGCTTATTGGTTCATTTGTTTGTATCTGGGGATAGTAAGCCTTCTGTTGATAGAAACATTAATAACTTCTTATCTGAATATGCCTATTCCCTGTCATGTTTTAAAAATGAAATTCATCACATTGACTTTTTTTTTCTTTGAAGGAAACATAATAAAGGTTACAGGATCACTTATTTTAGGGTAAGTGTCAATGGTAAAATACTGATTGGCTTCATTGTACTACTATTTGAAATCTCAGTGGGAATGATTTACAGGTAGCATGGGGGAGTGAACAGGTATAGACTTTGGAATTGGATGGATTCATCACCGGTCAGTCACTGGTTCTACCATGTCAGTGTTGTATCGCTCGCTGCTTTACCTTCTGAGTATTGGTTTCTCTTGGGTCCAAGTGTACGATGGGGATCCTGTCCACCTGGCACTGTTGCTCCGAGGAAAGCACCTGGCAGATATGGAGCCAGGGACTCACTCAATAGCTGTCACACACTGAAAACCACCTCTGGTCTTGGGTTCTAAAGTGGGTGAAGAAGGTAAAAATCAACTATAGTCAAAATTAGTTTGGAAAATTCTATGACTCACCATAAAGGTCTTATGAAAGGAAACTGATGCTGACTGAGAAAAGGAATAGATTGACGTCTCCCATCTCGTGCTATTTCAGAGGCACTTGCTTAATGAATGGAGTGACTCTCTTTCTGAAAATTGTATTTTCATTCTCCTTTCTTTCCTTTTTTGGGGGTGGGGGTGATATATATTAAATGCATGCCTAATGCTGCCCCAGTGTTTTTGTCAGTAATATTCTTTTTCACTAGGATAAATATAAAATCAACTCTTAGATGCTAAAATGATAAAGGAGATATATTTGGTATTTTATCCAAATACATACATTTCTCCATGATATTGTAAAGTCAGGCAAAACATATTTAGATGTTTTTTCCCTTTGACTTACTCCAAGCAAAAGAGAAATGAGTACTTTTTGTAAAGCCGTAATTGTGTTTGTATCACAATTATATTCAGGAATAGAGTGGAAATTCATCACACAATTTTTAGTACAGAATTTTGTCTTTCATGGAAAGCATGATAAAAATACTGAATACATTGGCTCTTTTGGCTGCTCAGGTAGATCCCAAGAGTGAAAAGGGTTCTTTTGAGCCTTCTCTCCGTTCCTCTGGTGCCAGCCAGAGTCTGGCCTTTTTGTCTTACCTGCTTTTGCTTTAGGGTAGGAAGTTCAGGAGAAGGCTTGATATACTCATGTTACTAAGCTCTGAGTTCAGACAGTGGGCGGCTGTTCTGTCTGGGTCGAGGGAGTGTGCAGGTCAGTCTGATGTGGGAAAAAAATCTTCATCTGGGGGTACACAACAAACAACATTGTAGGTCACATTTAAAAATTGACTTTAGCTATAACTTAGGAGAAGCTTTCACATGCTGGTGACCGAGTACAAATTGACTAATTTTTTTGAAACAACAGTTTGGCATCATCTAGTAAAGTTGAATAATATATAATATATATAATATATATGGTGCCAGAAAGTCTGTAATTCTGCTTCTAGATCTGTACCCTAGAGGAACAAACACATGTGTATAGTGCATAAGGGTGTGATGTGTAATGGTGTTGTTTGTGATAGATCCAAACTACAATTCCCTAAGTGCCTATCTGTGGTAGAGTGGGAAAGTAAGTTGTGGTACATGCAGACAGTGGATGAGTCACAGCCACAGGAAAGTGTAAATGCAGGAACTCCAGCTACAGGCAGCAGCCTGGGTGAATCTCACCAACAGAGGGCTGGACAGAAGAATACAGTGTGATTCCATTCCTGCGAAGTTCACAGGCAGACAGAACTGTTGTTTAAAGATGCATGTGTGGATGGTGAACTGTAAAGAAAAGCAAGGCTATTATTATAATAAAGTCAGAATGATAATTAGCTGTAGAGATGAGAGAGTGAGTCAGGATCAGGAAGGGACACACTGTGGGCTTCTGGGGTACTTCCTGTTAAAGTTCTGGTTTTTTGCCTGGATATGGTAATGTAGCTACTTACTATTATTTGTTAAACTGAAACATGTGTAACTTTATACATGTATTTATACATGTATATATATAAATGTATGATATATGCACATTTACTGTATATATATTTCCCAATAAAAAAGAAAAGTTAACTATTTAAAGCTTAACAAAAGAGTGACTCTTGTGTTACATTTAGATCATATATTTATGATGGATTTTTTGTTTCTTTTTAAGAGGTTCATTATTTCTTACATATGAAGTTCTGGCCCTGAAGAAGTCTTTGACATTAGATACTCAAGGGGTAGAAAGAGAAAAAATGAAGTCATACATATATGTGCACACAGATTCGTTAGATAAAAGAGAAAGTTATGGTAAGTTTATGGTAAAGTAACCTCATCTTTGTGAAAAATGGAAGCTAGTTATTGATTTTAAAAATTAGTATTTAAAATGCAGTATAAATAAGGTAGGTTCAGCTAACTCTAAGAATCACCAACCCCTGTGAGGACCTAAAGAGTTAACTGAAGACCAGATTTTGGACGTCTGTATTTAGCCCAAGTTTGCAGTTCCTCTCTAACTAGGTGAAGCGAAGGCCAGCCAGCTGTTGGGGTCTAAATGTGGAGTCCACCCCTCAGTGGGGACTGCCAGTTCAGATGCACAAAACATGAGTTTGTCACTTAACTCAGAACTATTTCTGATTTAAGAGATTTATTCATTATGCACACTAAAATGATAAGATGGATTCATAAATATGAATATGAACTTATTTACAGAGGGAAAAAATCTGTCATAAAGGCTAGAAAAACCTGTTTTGACTAGTCAGAACATTCCTCTTCTCCAAAGCTAGGTCACATGGAAACCTAATCAGTAATCAGACGATTGCTTGGTGAACATGACATTTTAGAGCAGAGGAATATCTTTCCATCAAGATATGGGTAGTCTGGTGAGTCACCACACTTGTCTCAGCTGCGGGCTCCTACACTGTCAGCCAGAATAGCCGTGCCTGCTGGTACATCATGGTCCCTGAGTGGGCCGGCTCTACTGCTCCCTGTCCACAAGCTGTTTGCATTTGTTGTCATTTCACCTTCCTATATTTCAACATGCTTTATGGTGTTAGCTTATAATTTAACTTTGTAGTGAAGCTTTATCCCAGTGAGGTATCTCCAAATTTTAGCTTGAGAGGGACTATTTTAAAGGGACATTTTCCTGAATATAGCTAATCCTATGTTGTGTATGAGGATTTTTGTTAGGTTTAGTGTTTTTGTTTTTTACCTTTTTCCTGACCTGGAGAGCAATCTTATTTTGGGACTTAGAGCTCTGTGTTCCCGTTGCTTTGATAGTTACAATAAAAACAGAAAGACGCTATTTTATATTTTCTTTTTGAAAAAACCTGAAGTTTATAGTTCTCGTTTAAGTGTTGGAGCTTGGCATTAAGGGTACATACTTAGTGTTTTTTAAATTTGTAATCACTTTAGGACTCACATACCAGGCAAGAAAAGAGCTTCACAAAACAGTAAGAAAAGTATTGGTAACCTCAGCCAAGATCTTACGGGGTCCGTTTGCTGGTAAGTATCAAATATTTAACTGGGACTCCTGATCAATATTCTGAAAGTCATTCGATGGTCTGCCTAAGATATTTTTCCATTTCATATACTAACATTTATTATAGCAGTGAAAAATTGAGTAACATTATTCTCTTGGGTTATATTTAATTTTAAGGCTTGATTCCTTTGACAGTTTTTTCTTTCCATCTTTGAGGTTGTATTGTTGTTAGATATTTGAAAATAAATATTGAGACTAAATATACCCTCTTCATAATTTAAAATTTGTTAAGAAATCTCTTACATGCTTTCTCATAATGAGAATCTTGCATCGAAAATGTAGATTTCACAAGCAGCAACTCTACAACGTAGAGCCTAGTTATAAAAGAGCTGACCAGATCTTCAAAAGTTGATGTCATGAAAAAGAAAAGGTGGAAAGCTTTCTAGAATTAAGAGAGACTAAAGAAACTTAAATCCTGGCTTCAAAAAAACAGCTTACAAGATATTTTTGGGACAATTGAATAAATGTGAATATGGATTTTAGACTGGATTTTAGATAATTTTGGAGGATTTTTGTTTGTGTTCTTGGGTGTTATAATGGCATTGTGATTATATATAGGAGAATGCAGGCTTAGTCTTAGGAGATTCAGTGTGAACTATGAAAGGGTAAAAGTCATAGGTCTGTAACTTCCTTCTACATAGTTTAGAAAAATATGTAGACCTATACATATAGATTGAGCAAATATGACAAAATAAGTTATTAAATCTAGCTGTGGTAGGCATATGGATATTAATGTATTATTTTAATTCTTCCTTATGTTTAATTTTTTTAAAAAATATGTTTTTTATTGATTTTAGAGAAAGAGGAAGGGAGAGGGAGAGAGAGAAACATTAATCGGTTGCCTCCCGCATGCACCCCGACCGGGGATCAAGCCCACAACCGGGGTATGTGCCCTGACTGGTAATCGATCCAGTGACCTTTCCGTGCATGGGACGGTGCTCAACCAATTGAGCAACACCGGCCAGGGCTGTTTGATATTTTTTATAATGAAAAATGTTTTAAGGAAAAAGAAAAAAAAAAAGGCCACATAGTGTAGTGAAAACAACATAGTCTATAAAATGAAAGCACATACATAATATACACAACAAATATAAAAAATGTGCCAGAACTGAGTATAAAACACCAGTTATTATTAATACGTGGAATTAGATTTAACTATTATAGATTTCAAATGTTTATAAATTACCACATTGAGTAAATGGGAGGTAAAAGTGTTGTTTTTAACTGCTTACATTGCCCATGTTGTCCTTTTCTTCTTTTTGCAAAGACACTTTTAGTACAGTTGACATAGAAGACCATGAGTGTGCCTCATGGCTGCTCCTGAGGAAGAGTAAGTCAGACGACAGGACGGTCCGCCTGCAGGCTGTGCAGGACATGTCGGAGGCCCACCACTGGCACGGTAAGGACCCTGCGAGGCACACTGCCAGCTAGCCCTCTGCTTCCAATATGGGAGAGAAGGGAATGAGATCTTCAGGAAGGAAAAAGTTCAGGCAGCCTAAAATTATATTCAGAATATTTCCAGAAGTTAGAAAAGGAAACTCCAGTGAAACTCACTGGCCTGGTAACCAGATGTGTTTGGTCAGAACAGCCTCAGAACTGAGGTAGATACATTTGTAACTTCGTAGCAGAAAGAACAGTGTTTTACTTGATTAGAGAAACTTTTGATTCTTATAGTTACGGCCCAGTGTTGTGCTTACATTTTCTTGTGGTTCCTATTTAATGAAATACATTTTAATTGCTTGCCACACCACAGAATTAGATTTGCTTTCACTTGATAACTGGCTCTAATACTAATAATTAGTCTGATTTATGTGTATATATCATAGTAAGGGGTATTTAAAGTATTTAATTGTATTTAAAACCAACAAGTTTTGCAGTGATAATACATGAGCAAGAGCTCAGATCTGCTCTGATTCTAATAGAGAGACTAATGTACACTTTGAGTATCGTCGTCATAAAAATGAGTAAACAAATAGAAAGGAATAATGTTCTGAAAGAAGAGTCTCAATAAGATACCTGCTTCCATACAAGTTAATTGTAGATTGATTGGTGGCTGTAATTATAATTTATAATGTAAATATACACTTATTTCATAATGTTAATGGAGACTTAGAATAAAAATCTTTTTCAAAATCTGCCTCCTAGGGCTCCAATTCACAAAAATCAGGGCTGGAGTGCTGGCACATATATTTTGAAAAGTTCCCCACATGATCTTGAAGAACTCACCCAGGTTATGAACTGCATTAGAGAGAGTGTGGTTGGAATTCTGTTCTGATAGATTTTTTTTTAGTCTGTTTGGGTCACTATAACAAAATACCATGGACTGGGTGGCTTATAAACAACAGAAATATATGTCTCACAGTTCTAGAAGCTAGCAGTGCAAGATCAGGTGCTGGCAGAGTTGCTGTCTGGTGAGGACCTGCTTCCTGGTTCATAGCTAGCCATCTTTGTGTCCTTAACTGGCAGAAGGGACACGGCAGCTCTCGGGGTCTGTTTTATAAGGGCACTAATTTCATCATGACCTAATCACAGCCCCCCAAGGCCCTTCCTCCAAATACCATGATATTGGGGATTAAGTTTCAACATACGGATTTGGGGACACACAAATAGTCTGTATCAGTACATAAAGAAAGGGGTGATAAATCATGAAAGCTAAAACAAAGTACCTCCATCTGGAATCTCATTCTCTACATGGACATCACGGAATAAAGGCATCATACTGTTACTAGGGACACTAGACCTAAGTGCAATGGCAGGTTCTGGAGTAGTGATAAAAAAGCTTTTGAACACTAGAATTATTTTTAAAGAGAAGTTAAATTGGTTCTCACCTATCAATTTTCACATTTGAAGTTCATCTTTTAAAAAATGTTAGTTAGACCCTGACATACCCAGATACATGTTGAGGAGAATTGTGAGATTAGATATGGAAATGATGGGTATTTAGCTTATTGATGTTGTAGTTGTGAAAAAATACTTGGGACATACAAACTTGTAATTTGAAAATTAGAGTGCTTTCAGGTAGTTTGTCCATTTAATCCTTGAAACAACTGTAAGCCAATCTGGGAGCTAACAGTATATTTTTATAATAGATTACCAGTATAGGACAATTGCACAAGCCTGTGACCTGAGGACTCGTGTTGGTTTGGCACGAAGCCAACAGAGTGATCTTCGTTTTTTTCTCCCTCCACCCCCTTTACCAGCTTTAAAAGAAGTAAGTAAATAAAATTATCAGTGAGTGAAAAATTGTTTAATATATAGTCTCCACTCTGGGTATAGAATAACATTCAAAAAGTAGTTTGTTGGCTACTTTTACAAGCAGGTAAAGGCTGTCAGCCTGAAATTGTAGTTTTCCTACAAAGATTTCTTGATTCCTCAGGAGATGATGTTTCTCTGTTATTTCCCCCCTTTTGGGTACTTAGGGGCTCTTGCACCAGGGTAACTTCATAGCATATCAGCATCCGTAATTGGTCTCTTGATGTACGGCTGCTTTTAGATTAGTTTTTCTCAACTTCAACACTGTTGACATTTTTGGCCAAATAACTTTTTATTGGAGGGTGTCCTGTCCATTGTAGGGTGTTTAACAGCATCCCTGGCCTCTTCTCATTAGATTCCAGAAGCAGCCCCACGTTGTGACAACTAAAAACATTTCCAGATATGCTAAATGTTTCCTGAGATTCCAAACACAGCTGGAGAGCTACTATGTAGAGTTATTAATGTATTAATACGTGAGGATACCAGTTAAGCAGTAATATAGATATTTGAGCATGTTTCTTGAGTACCTTTCCTAGACTAGAAAAGGAAAATCTGAAAAGTTGCTGTCAGTTTTTGAAGAATAGAAAATGAATATACTAAATGTAAGTCATTAGGGAAAATCAGGAGTAACAAGTTCTGGATTTTAAAAGCTAGCTTTAGTAAGAAAGTGTAATCATTTTGAGTCAAGTGAAGTAGCCCATGAAGTGAAAACGCAGAGCTGTGTTTTGTGAGAGCTCCTTCAGATTGGGGTTGCAGACACGAAAGAAAAAAATTAAGAATTAAATGATCTGTCTACCTGGGTGGGCGACAGTTTTTGAAGCTAAAAGCACTAATTTACCTCTGCCTTTGTTTGTTTGTTTCTGCTTTTTTGGCTTTGGGTCTCTGGGGGCTTTTTGTTCAGTTGTTGAGCTTGATTATGAAAACTGACTTCCTCTTATTTCAGGACTCGTCCATTGAAGAAGAGCTCAGGTACCTGCTGGCTTCTTTACCTCTAACAGAGCTGGATGAGTGTGTCCAGTACTTTACATCTTTGGCTCTGAGTGAAAGCAGTCAGTGTCTAGCAGCTCAGAAGGTTAGCTCATCCATTCATTCAGTAAATATTTCTGAGTGTCCACGCTTTCCAAGGTCTTGTGCCAGAGGCCAGCACTTAGACCCTTAGAATAATCATCTATCCAGGAACTGAGTCAACATACTGACTCCTGGTTGTGTGCCATGCACAGGTTAGGTGTTTGGGATAATGGGGAGACAGGTAAATAAAGTCACAGAGTGTAAGACATACAGGTTACTCCCAGAACCCTTCACTTCACTTAAGAGGTCGTGTAAGGCTTCACAGGAGGAGGTAACTCGGAAGATGCATTTTTATTACCCCAGAAAGAAACCTGAGCCCATTAGCGGTCACTGTCCATGCCCTCCCCACCCCCAGTCCCTGGCAGCCACTATTCTGCTTACTCTCTATGGATTTGCCTCTTCTGGGCATTTCATTATAAATGATATCTTCCAATAGGTTAGCTTTTGTGTCTGACTTCTTACATTTAGTATAACGTTGTCCAGGTTTATCCATGTTGTATCAAGTATCAGTACTTCATTTTTTCCTATGGTCAGTAATCCCCCATTGTATGGATGCACACCACATTTTGTTCGTCCATTCATCAGCTGATAGCAGGATATTTAGGTTGTTTCCACTTTTTGGCTGTTCTGAATAATGCTGCTATGAACATTTGTGTACAAGTTTTTGTGTGGACATGTTTTTAATTCTTTTGGGATATACCTAGAAGTGGAATTGCTGTGTTTAACTTTTTGAGCAACTTCCAAAACATTTTCCACAGCAGCTGTACCATTTTACATTCCCACCAGCAATGTATGAGGATTTCAGTTTCTCCACATACTTGGCAATGTTTGTTATTACCCATCTTTTTTACTAGAGCCATCCCATTGGCTGAGAAGTGGCATCTTCGTTCTGGTTTGATTTGCATGTCCCTAATGATTAATCATGTTGAGTATATGTTACATGCTTATTGGCTGTTTATATATCTTCCTTGGAGAAATATCTATTCGTAGCCTTTGCCCATATTTTTAAAAATTGGGTTACTTGTCTTTTTATTGTTGAGTTCTAAGAATTCTTTATAGATTGTGGATACAAATCCTTTATCACATATATTATTTGCAAATAGTTCTCCCATATCAGATATTATTTGCAGATAATATTTGCAAATAACATATTTGCAGATATAATATTTGGAAATATATTTCACTTTCTTGATATAGTGTCTTTTGCAATGCAAACATTTTTAATTTTGATGAAGTTCAATTTATGCATACCTGTCTTTTGTTGCATGAGAAAATAGAATCTTATACCAGAGAGGAAGGCATGGATAAGAGTTATAGAATGGGCAAATATTTTGAACATTTACTAGATTTACTGAACCACAGACCCTATAAATTATCTCAAAGTGCAGAAACTTACGGATTGTATTTCCTATAGGAAACATTGGGCTTTATATACACATTTTGAAAGGCATGGCCTTGTACTTGTCCCCCTTTGCCAGCAGGTGCTCTGTATGCATAGTATGACCTCTCTTTCAAACACAAAGCACTTCAGGAGGAGATAGGGAATTAGACCTCTTCCCATTCCTTCCATCCCCCATACACCGGCACTTGCACGCAGTTACGCTCTTTCCCACAAATGGTGGCATACAGGACACACACTCTACCCCTTCTCTTTCTCAGTTAAGGAGTTATCTTGGAGGTTGAGATATATCAGTATATGAAGAGACTCAGCATTTTTTACACTTGCATAGTACTCCATTTTACAACGGTACCATCATTTTTTTAACCAACCCCCTATTGATGGACATTAGGTGGTATCAGTCTTTTGTTCTTATAAAGGATGCTGCAGGGAACAAATCTGTACACACATCACTTTGCCTGCGTGTTATATGTTGAAAGCGCATGGGCACTTGTAATTTTTTTTTTTTTAAATCCTCACCTGAGGATATCTTTTCCATTGCTTTTCAGAGATAGTGGAAGGGTGAGAGAGAGAGAGAGAAACATTGATGTGAGAGAGACACATCAATTGGTTGCCTCCCACAGGATTGCGCCTGCCATAGAAGTACGTGCCCTTGGCTGGAATTGAACCCAGAACCCTTCAGTCCAAGGGCCAGCGCTCTAACCACTGAGCCAAACTGGCTAGGGTGGCACTTGTAATTTTGATAGCTGTCACTAAGTTGTCTTCCACAGAACTAGCCCCATTGATACTACCAGTAACAGGGTGATAGGAATGCCCGTTTCCTCACCCATCTGATAGAGGAAGACGATCCTTTCTCTGTAGTTCCACCATGCATGCTTCACTATGGGCAATGTTGGACATCATTGCATGTATTTTAGAGGCATTATATTTCTTCTCCTAAGAACTTTCTTTTATGACTGTTGCTCATTTTTCCATAGCATCATTGGTATTTTTCTCACGGATCTGTAGAAGACTGTTGCATATTAGTGACATTAGCCCTTAATCTGTGGTTAAGAGTTGAAATTTTCTTTGCCTACTTTATTCTTAAATGTTTTAACATCTACTAGTCTCCACTAGTCTTCTGTTTCATAATTTTCCTAATTCTTCTTTTTCTTCCATATGAATTTGAATTTCAATTTGGGAAGAATTAAAAACTATGATCCTTGTTATTGCCTTTATTTTAATTTTTTTCAATAGTGCTTTTCTCTTTTTTATCATTTTAAGTAGACTCGACTAGCATAATCTCACTCTAGAACATTTTGATTAACCCAGGCTTTTCTTATAATCAATAACTGGTGTTAGTACTTTGTACTTTCAGATGAGAGGACACAGGGGAAAGAATTGAGAAAGTGCAAAGATTTCTCTCTTCTAGGAATAATTCCATGTTTTCTATTCTCGTAAGCAATAGTTTGCATAACTAAAGTTTCCATAATATTTAGAATCCTATATATTAGTCCTTTCTAATACTATATATAATAGAGATTTTTTTGTTTAACAAAAAGTATTAGTCATGTTTTTAGTAAAAGTGTTAATTATCTTACTTTCAGGGTGGCTTATGGTGTTTTGGAGGAAATGGACTTCCTTATGCTGAGAGCTTTGGAGAAGTTCCTTCAGCCACAGTGGAAATGTTCTGTTTAGAAGCTTTAGTAAAACATTCTGAGGTAACTTAAATTTTCAAATGTGGTTTATTTTCATGACCACGTTGAAAAAATTATACACGTTCATTCAAGGGAAATTATCTTCATTTGTTATAAAAGAAAAAAATGCCTTTTGCTTATTTTTAAATTTCTACTTTTCCCTCATTGGATTGTTCAAATTGATAATCATGATTTAGCACCAATACATGAATTTTGTTCTTGCTATTTCTAAAAATGGATATAATCTTAATTGCACATGAAGAAAGCAATGCGTTGTCTAAATACTGAATTTATCTTTGAGTTATGCTGTGTTTTACTATCTTTCTCAGATGATTTTTACGAGTAATATTATCAGGTAGTTATAATTTCCATTAAAACATCTGTCAAAGATGTGTTAAGACAGAAAAAAGAAAATATTTGGGTGACCAAATTTTAACCATTTCATATGTCAATGATTGTCAAATTTCTTGGCATTATGACAGCCTTTCTATCATGATCATAGTTTGATTTTAAAAAGAAAAAAGTAACAGACTTTGTCCTACACCAACATTAGTGCATGAAAGTTACGAAGCATGTTAAAAATACACATTTTCTGCTTACCTTAGCAATTTTAATTTACTGATGTGGGGTGGAGTGTGGGAATTTACATTTGTAGCAGGCATCCCTGGTGAGGCTGCTACAGGTGGTTCCTGGTGGTTCCTGGTTGTTCCATATGGTGGGAAACGTCATCTTACACATTATAAACTCTCCCATTTAATTTTGGGAACCATCAGACATGGCTCAGAAGCACGGTGTTCTGGTCATCTTAGTTCCCACCTGTGGAATTAGGATCAAGGACAAAGCAGAGTTAGTAAAGTGTCGGACTACAGAAGGGAGTGGGGGACAGTGAGCTGGGTTTTGTGATTTACATCTAGTTTCTGAGGCAGTAGGATGCATCTTCAGTAGAAGGTGCGGTGGATGGAATACAATAGTTACCTTTCCAGAAGCCTCGCAAGTTAGTCCATGTCTCACTTGATATATGTCTAAAAGGCATACTTTTAAATGCAAGTAAATGTGATAAAATTTAGTAAAAATTTAGAGAATGATAGTTGTTACATATACGTGAGTGACATGGTGTCATGTCAGTGAATAAAACTAGTGCTGGGAAGAGGCAAGGCCATGCCAGTGACCTTAGCAGACTATAATGACTTGTTAGTCAATTCTGTCACCTTACCTTAGTATACATATTTCCTTTGGTTTTCTTTATCTCTTTTCTCCATTAAAAATTCATATCCCCTTTTCTTTCTATTTTTACTTGATCTTTCTCTTTAAATAATTTCTGACTCTTTTTAGGCCAGCCCAGTAGCTGTGGGTTTGTGTGGGGCAGATATTGCTCATCTCTGTGGGATCTGCCACTTGGATTATTCCCTGTTATCAGATGGCAGGTTTCTCAAGGGTGGAGAACCATTCTAAGGTAGTTTTAAGCCAATCAAAGTATCGCTAGAAATTGAAACAGTTCTGTAATAATGACAGGTTATTTCTGACCCAGAGCTAAACAGAATATCTTTAAGAATAAAAATTTCACCCTAGCTTGTTTGGCTCAGTGGTTAGTGTTGGCCTGCAGACTGAAGGGTCCGGGGTTCGATTCCGGCCAAGGGCACACATGTACCTCGGTTGCAGGCTGGATCCCTGGCAGGCAACCAATTGATGTGTCTCTCTCACATCGATGTTTCTTTCTCTCTCCCCCTTCCATTCTCTGAAAAAGCAATGGAAAAAATATTCTCAGGTGAGGATTAAAAAACAACAACACAATTTTCAGCCCAGCAGGCTTGGACTAGTGGTTGAGCGTTGACCCATGGACTTGTAGGTCATGGCTCAATTCCCAGTCAGGGCACATGCCCAGGTTGCGGGCTCGATCCCCAGTTGGGGGCGTGCAGGAGGCAGCCAATCAACGACTTTCTCATCATTGATGCTTCTATCTCTCTCTTCCTTCCTCTCTCTGAAATCAAGAAAAAAAAAAAGAAAAAAAAGAATACAAATTTTAGAAGTCCTGGTAAGATATGACTTATTTTTTCAGTGATTTTGAAGCACTTCCCATGTAGATAGAGGTTTGTGTGTTAAGTAAGCTGAGATGAGAGTTGGGTGGTCTCTCAGGGTTTCTGTCCTTGAGCAGGAGCCATGTGGCTGCTCATCTGCATGCTGGGTCACCTGGTTAGTGAATTGGTACAACATAAAGTGAGCTTTCATTAATTTATTGTGCTAGATATCCACACATTGTGATAAAATTGAAGCAAATGGAGGCTTGCAACTACTTCAGAGGCTGTACCAACTTCACAAGGACTGCCCTAAGGTACAGAGAAATATAATGCGAATCATTGGAAATATGGCTTTGAATGAGCATCTTCACTCAACTATAGTTCGCTCAGGTAACCACTTTATATACTGAGTATTTGGGATCCGGTGCTTTGTTCTACCTCTACTCATCATGATACATCAATTTTTCAATAGACTGAAGACTTTGCTTAGGGTTAGTACAGGTCCTTAGAGCATGTTGTTTTAGTATAGGGGCAAGAAATTGCTTGAGATGTTTGGATAATCGACACCTAAGATAATGTGTGTGGCAGTCACAGGAGAGCATGTTTTGCTGATGTGACCATCTAAGTGTTTATATCTTTGATATGAATGGTTATTAGAGACCAAGATCTGGATGCTTTGTGTGCTTACTGCTCCTGGGGTGTCTTTATTCTTGGCTCTTTCAGTGGAAAAGCTAGGTGATACAAAAAAACATACACATACATACACATCTACATACATATCTGCACATGTACAGTTGACCCTTGAACAACACAGGTTTGAAGTGTGGGGGTCGACTTACACGCAGATGTTTTTCAATAAATACCTGTACTGTTTTAGATCTACTGTTGGGAGTTCTCGGATACAGAGAGCTGTCTGCATGCATTGATCTACACCATTTTATATAGGGGACTTGAGCATCTGCAGATTTGGTATCTGCAGGGTGCCCTGGAACCAGTTCCTGGCAGATACTGAAGGACAACTTAAGTTTCTGAGGAGTCTAAAGTTATATGCAGATTTTCAACTGCGTGGGTGGCTGGGGTCAGGGCCCCTAACCTCCTCATAGTTCAAGGGCAACTGTATATGATATGTTCTTACATTTACATATATTAGAAATTATGAATTTACATTAAGAGTGTCTTTTGATCAGCAGAGGAGGGATCAACAAACTATAAAGGACCACTTACTGTAAGTTTTATTCGTCCCTCTTTTTATAGGTTCTTAAGGTGGAAACCTAGATCACTGGCTTTAACCTTTTTTCTCGTTTCAGTTATATATTGCTAAGTATCAGACCACCTCAGAACTCACTTGTAAAACAGGTCATGCATTTTGCTCCTGAATCTGAAATTAGGGCAAGGTTGAGGAGGATAGGCTTATATCTGCCCAGTGCAGCATCAGTTGGCGCAACTCAGCCCTGGAACAGAGGATACACTTACAGCATCACCTGCTCACAGGACCTGCAGATCGACACTGGCTGTCAGTGGGGAGCCTGGTGGGGGCTGGGCCATTGGCTCCTTTCTACTTGGGCTTCTCCATGTGACTTGGGCTTCCTTAAAGCATGATGGTTGGGTCCCAGGGGCAGATCCTGAGAGAAAGCCAGGTATAAGCTCTTTTGCTTTTTATAATCTAGCCTTGGAAGTAACTTCTGCCCTACTCTGTTGATTAGAAGCCAGTCACTAAGGATAGCCCATATTCAAGGGGAGGGGATTCAGAGGGGTTTAGATGCATCACCTCTTGAGAATAGTGTCAAAGAATTAAGACATGTTTTAAAATCACTACAAATTTCTATTATAGATATTTAAAGTTGTAAGTTTCCTCTAACCTGCTTTAGATGCACCCCTCAAATTTTGGATATATTGCATTTTCATAATTACTCACTTTGAAATATTCTCTATTTTCCCTTGTGATTTCTTCTTTGTTTCATGGGTCATTTAAAGATGTACTCTGTGCTTTACAAACATTAGGGGTTTTCTAGACACGTGCTAAGTTTGCCTCTCTGCCATCAGTTTCAGTCTGAACCCTCTCGACCGTCTGAGATGGATTAGTGTCAGTACTTAGGAGGTGTGTTCTCTTCACCAGGCTGGGTTTCCTTACTGGCAGAAGCACTGAAGTCTCCCCACATCATGGAGGCCTCACATGCCGCCAGAACCCTGGCTAATCTGGACCGAGAGACGGTGCAGGAAAAGTACCAGGATGGTGTGTATGTGCTTCACCCCCAGTGTCGCACAAGGTGAGAGAGCAGACAGTCCCCTTGTCCCCGTGGGGGTGGAAAGTGTGGAGGGTTTAACATTTTAATTTATTCCTGCATAATTTAGATAAGTTAAATACCTTACAAATAAGTCACATACCTTATATCCTGAAACAGTTTTTCCTAATAACCTCAGAAGCATCGCAGGCTATTGTGAAAGCATGGAAGGGACTAAGTTCTCAGGGTTAGTGCACATCAAGGGCTTGCGCTCAGTAGCTTGTGTTCACCTTTCATCACACATCACACTTAAACTGTGCGTGCGCATTTCTTTGTCTCACAGCATTTTCCACGTAGATTTAACAGCTGATTTGGATTGTACAGGTAATTCTGGATGGGAAGGAGAATAGACATCATTATTTATATGCAGGCAGCCAAATTAGCTTGGGCCTAGACCTCCAGGGACTGGAGAAAGTTCACGTTAGTTATAAAAGCATGTGCTGGAAGGAGTAAGTCGTAATAAATTTGACTACTCCTTAAAGTTATTTATGGTCGCCTTTTCTAGTTGTGTCATTGCCGAGACGATAAATTCAGAAAGGACCACAAAGAAGAAGTTATATCTTTTGTGGGTTTTTGTCAGGCACTTTAAAATATTACCTCAGAAAATAGCAAAAACTTTTTAATTTGAAAAATTGATTGCCTACTTTATTCCAATTTGTAAGTAAAATACTGTGGCATTTGCATATTATATAATTATGTGCCCTCTATATAGATGCAAGTAATATACTATCTACATATTTTTATTATTTTTTTTATTGTTGACATTACAATGTCTCCCATTTTCCCCTTCTTTGCCCCACTCCACCCAGCCCCAGCCCCACCCCAGGCCTTCACCACTATCTACATATTTTTAAAGGTCATATCCAAAGAAAGAATGTTACTTTAAAATGTCATTTGCTCTATTTCTGATAAACATTATCCTTGGTAAATTTTTGAAAATCTTTTATACATGCTGTCTTAGAACCTACACTAGCATATTCTTATTTAATTTTTTAAATACTTTATTAGTTTGTGGGACAGTCTCATGGAATTCTTTGGAGGGCAGTCTGACATCTGCTGCTTCTCTGGTCACTGAACTCATTGCAGTTGCTTTTGGTTGGTCCACCTGCTAGATGTGTCTCCGTTTCTGTAGAGCAGTGAGCACGCTCCATGCGTCTTTGCAGAAACCCCCTGTAGGGTTGGTTCTTCGGGGAAGCCACGCTCCTGACGCTTGCCTTCACTTTATTTTATGTCATGTAACCCTAAGCACCATCCACAGAGAGTGCTATGTAGATCCTCACCAGAACAATAATGCGCTCTTTCTGCTTCTCCTTTAAACTCTCCCCCACCAGTCAGCCCCTTAAAGCAGATGTCCTTTTTATTCATGGCCTTTTGGGAGCAGCATTCAAAACGTGGCGCCAGCAGGACTATGACCAGGCTCCAGCTGAAAAGGCTTCAGGGGATGGAACCAGGTACACAACATGCTGGCCCAAGGTAAGGACACGGCTGGCTGGTATTTACCAGGACATACTGCAGGTCGCTGGCTGTGGGGCCCTCATTGTGACTTGCTTTTCTATTTTTACTGGGATGCTTCTCCATGCAGTGTTTCCTTCCCTTGGGGACACCAGTGGTATGCTACATGAACAGCTGGGCTTATCACCTGTGCTGTGTAATTTAGGGCACAGTGTGTGACTCTAAAAGAATATTCCAGTAACTAAAAACGGGGGCAAGGTAATCATTCACTTCCATTAAAAATATACTATAACACATAATATATTACAGTCATGGCAGTTGGCCAGTTCTCTGATTTTAATAATTATAAAGAGAGACTTTGAAGAAGTCATTCTGTGGATTTCTTTGACATTTTTTCCAAAGAGCCTTGACTTTGAGATGAAGTCACTGAATGGAAGTGATCAAAAGCTGAGTGAAACTGATGCTGTAAATAATGTGGAAATAGTTCCCAGGGCTTTGTTCCGCTGCTGCTCATGCACCGTCACCAAGGCTCGTCAAGCAGAGAGAAGGGTTTTGACTCTGGTGATACTGAAGTGTGGGGATGATGGCAGAGCCCAGGTCCAGAGATAGGACTTGACTAATTAGTATCTCTGAGTGCTCAGGGCGAGTCTCACCAGCAGAACATACTGTCTGTCCTGAGATCACAGCTTCCTACTAAATGCTTTGAAAAAGCCAATTCGATCTAAACTCAAAAACAGGCCTTGCTTCTGGCAGGAGCTGATTAAAACAGACTATTCTCTGGACACCGGCACTGGCCTTACTCTATAGATACTGATGCCACCTTGTGACCAGAGACATGAAAAGATAAAATGCTAGACTTGTTTTTCTGGTCACCTTTACACTTTGTTCCAATGTGGTATTAGTCAGTATTAGTCCTTTAGTTATGAATTTCTATTACTAGGAAGTAGTTGGGGCAGTGGAAATTCATATATGCTCTCTTGTACCTTTTATTTTACATAGACGTGGTTAGCAGGAGACTGTCCCGCTCTCCGGATTATATCTGTGGAGTACGACACTAGCCTTAGCGACTGGAGAGCGAGGTGCCCCACAGAAAGGTAATGGGAAGCTTTGGAAGGGCAAGGGCCCAGGCCACAGGTGGGCCCTCTGGGATGGAGATAGGATTTTCTTATGAAAAACTAACACAACCTTTTTTCTCTTTGTTCTAGAAGGAGTTAGCTATATAAATAAATTAGATAGTGTCAGTGTTGGGCTCCTAACATGGTTCACTTACAACTATTCTAATAGGAACGACCATGGATCCCATAGCAAAGCCTCCTTTACTCCTAGAAGTAAACGTTGTGCTTTTGGCTTTTGCACAGTCATACTGGCTAAAGGAAGCAAAGAAAATGATGTTGAGCAATATAGGCTCATGTCACGTGTATGTCACCTGTGCTACTGTATGTACAGGAAGGGCCCATGACTTCTGGGCTTAGGACCTAGACTGTAGCCAGTTCTCCTTTGGCTGCTGTGCAATCTCAGACAAGCCCTTTATTTGCCTGGGGAGCTTTGGTCTACAAATTGAGGGAGTCGGCCTGAATAAGTGGGTTCTGAATGGCCCCCACCTGGGTGCCAGGGGAAGGGTGCCAAGGGCCAACAGACTAGACCGGCTCCCTCCCCATCTCACCCAGAGGAACTATGACAAGCTTTTATTTTGAAGAAAGATTCTACAGGGAAACAGTTTGAAACTACCAGACCAGATAGTTGTGAAGTTCTATTTTGAAAATTGCTTATTTTGAGTTCTCTCATTCTAATAGCTTTCTGGTATTTCTAAGTAACAAACCAAAATAGTGTTTTCAGCAGAAAGGACACAGGTTCTAAGTGGTGGGGGCAGTTGGTGTGAGACCTAACTTTGACCTGTGAATATTGCCAGACACATATTAGATGCTTGTTTAGTAAATGAATGGCCTGTTTTGGGCTTAGATATTCCCAGTTATGCCAGTGTGACTAAATTAGAAATAGGGACAGCAGTTGCAGGAATTGAGCAGAGAGAATAGGGGTATTCCTGACTGCAGATGTAGCACGTAGCATCAGTCCAATGAACAAATGTTTTCGCTTTAAACTTTGGAAAGCAAAATTTGGGGAGATCAATACCCCCTCATCATGCCTGCTGTTTTCATTTTGTTCAGAAAGTCCATTGCATTCAGGAGCAACGAACTTCTTCAGAAGCTCCGAGCTGCTGGTGTTGGGGACAGGCCAATGATTTGGGTGTCACACAGCATGGGAGGTAAGTGTGTGCCCACGGCCACAGCCCCTCCATGCCTGCTTACCCCAGCCCTGTAGGTGTCCACTCTGGGGTTCCAATGCTTGCTTGCTAAGGGACATCTGCTCCTCCCAGCCCTCTCCCTGATCCAGTTGTAAATTTTCACCATCCACTGCCTAGTTTACTTGCTGAAATGCTCAGGATTGCTGATTCCAGGCATTCAGCTGAGAGGAAGGCAGATGTGGCCTTTTGTGTCCTCAGCGAGCCAGTGTCATCATCTGTGTGACCTTTGTGTATCACTGCTGGCTCCCAGCCCAGTGGGGACAACAGAAAGTGCCTTTCTAGGTGCATTTTCCTATGGAAGCTTGTTTTGCCCGGAGGGTCGGCTTTATGGACTATTGTGGTGTGTTTTTGGAGTATTAGTACCATCCTAAGGGAGGGGCCATCGGTGGCTGCTGTGGACAGTACAAGGAGACTGGCAGCTGCATTGTCGCTTCATTGATGGACATGCAGCATAGCACTCTTGTGGGACAGTGCAGCCTGGGCTACAAATGAGTTTCTAGAATCTCACTTATTTGTAGGTAAGATCCTGATCCAGAGGATCAGGAGTATTATCCAGTGTTGATATTTTAAGGCCCTGTTTATTGGACTACAGAGAATTATCACTTAAACTTTTTAAAGAAAGCATCTCTTTTTCTGTATTTCTTGTTTTGCCTTTTTGGGGTTTTAAGAACAATGGAGGGAAGGAAAATAGCTTCTGCATTGTTTTTTTCTTCTCTGTGGCTAGGTCTTCTTGTAAAAAAGATGCTGTTGGAAGCCTCGCAGAAGCCAGAAATGAGTACTGTGATAAACAACACCAGAGGGATAATCTTCTACAGTGTGCCCCATCACGGCTCCCATCTGGCGGACTACTCTGTCAACGTGCGCTACCTGCTGTTCCCCTCTTTGGAAGTCAAAGAACTCAGCAAGGGTAACTCTTACATTCCGTCACGAGGGAAACTGGGATGGCAGGAACATCAGTTACCCAGGAGGGGGAAGACAGACAGTTTCCAACCTATTGTCTCGCTTTATTATTTGTATGTGAATTGTGTTTAGACTGTGATGGAAAATTTTTAGTTTGGCTTTGATTTTTCTTTGATACTTTCCCTTTTTTGTCTTAAGCCATTATTTGTTCAAATATAACAAGTTTAATAGTATGTGAAATATTTAAAGTTTTTAAAGTTATGTAATATTTTGCTTTAAGTATAATTCCAAATTGCCAATTAATTACTTTTTTCTGAGTTTGGAAAATCACCAGCTGTTAGAATATGCACAGGCTTTGAAGACTCACCATATTAACTATAAAGCATTATATATAGGGTGGGGCAGAAGTGGGTTTACAGTGGTTCATGTGGGAAAATAATAATTAAATCATATGAGAATAAACTGTGTTTTTGCGTAGTCACAGCTGTAATCCTACTTCCCCCCCTTGTTTGTTTTAATTAATAAGCATTAATTCCATTTTCTGGAATACCTGCTGATCAGAATTCAGAGCCCTTGGCTTGAGCTTGAATATGCCAGACATCTTTTTATTCATATTTTCTCTCACCTTTATGGAGAGAGTTATTTGACTGTCTTCTAAACCTTTTGTTGAATTTTATTTTTTGCAGTCAAATTGTATTTTCCATAAGCTCTTCCTTGTCCTTTGATCCGTCATCTTTTGACATCATTCTAAAGATACAAATTAGTGGATTTTTTTAAAGTTCTGTTTCTGCCCGTGCAGGTTTTTGTTGGCTCCTCAGGTCGTCTCTCTTAGGTTGTCAGCTTTCCTCTAGTATCCATGCTTCCTGGGTGCCCTTCCTACTGGAGGCTGAGGGACTCTGACTGTGGCCAGACTCTGGTGATGGAAGCTGTGCTGTAGGGTGGGGGTGGGTGCCAGCCAGCACACAGGGGACCCCCAACAAATTGCCTGGGGACTGCTTCCTGCTAGCCCAAGACATGGGAGATCTCTGTTCTGTGTTGGTTTTAGCCCTCTACTCTCAGCTTAAGGGCTCCTTAGGAAGGAGAGAAAATTAACGAGCCACCATCCGAATTAGAACTCTGATTTTCTCTCTAAATTTGGAAGGTGAATATATTTTATCGTGAATTAGATAAACAATTTGTCACAGTCTTGTTCTCTGTAATTACAGATTCTCCTGCACTTAAGGTCCTACAGGATGACTTTCTGAAGTTTGCCAAAGACAGAAACTTCCAGGTGCTGAATTTTGTGGAAACACAACCAACCTCCATTGGTAGCATGATCAAACTGCACGTGGTGCCCGTGGAATCAGCAGGTACTCCCTCTGTAGAAACTTGTTGACCATTAGCTGCCTAGTTGGTCATACCCAGCATTTAATTATAAACGTCAACTTTTATATTTAGCCTCTTAGTTTTAGGAAGATCTAGATTCTAATTCTGTTATTCTTTTCAGCCATAGATTAAAATTTCTCAGTAAATGTACAACCTCGGTTTTACCCCTCCCCTCCCCTCATTTAATTGACGAGTGGCAGAGGTTAGTTGGCTACCTCTGAATTAGCCATCGACAGTGAACTCTGTTGCATTAAGGTAAGAACATGAAACCCTTCTATTAGCTGGACTGAAAGGGGCGTTGCATTTAAAAGACTGATAACTGCATGCAGAAACCTTAAAAAAGGGAGTGAGAGATATATGAGGAATATTCAAGCAACAAAAAGTTTTGATGGAAAAAAGTGTTACAAGTACAGTTTCTTTATGATCCTGACGTTGAGGGAAATGACCTGTACCTGCTACTATAGTGTATTATACTGTGTCATAGGCTGTTTGAGAGTAGGGCCCAGATCTTAGTTCTCTTTGTAGTTTCCTTTATTACTCAGCTTGATAGGTAACCCGCACCTGTCACTCCCTGGAGCTCTTCAACTTGGCTGTCAGACCCTTTTCTGATCACCCCTGAAGCTGGCTTAGGTACTGTCCTGGGAGCCCTCAATGCTCCCTGTAGCCAGGGACAGTGTGTTGCTGGAGCACTTGCCAGATGGTTCTTTGGTTTGCATAACAAGTTTTGTTATCTAAATAAAATGAAAAAGACTTAATACTCTAGTGAAACCTAAAGATGGTATACCTCCAAGTAATATGCCGTAGGGTGGGGAGTTACTATTTAGTAGTTGAAAAACTTAAAGAAGTCAAGGAACAGCTGCAGGGTGTTAAAAAAAGGATTTTTGGAAGCTTAAAGTAAAAGCAAAGTTAATATTGTGGATTAACTGCTTGTAGTGACGTAGCCTCGACATAGTTCTGGCTACACTTCCTCCGTGTCACTGGGAAGCTTGTCTTCCTTCCCCACCACCGGCAGTCCTCACCTAGTACTTGTCGTCACTTCCGTCCAGGTGGACTTCATAGGCTCAGCCAGGTCTCTCAAGCACTAAGTCACCCTCTCCCCTTGGTGAGTGACCATGGGGTTTGGGTATAGATAGAATGGACCCAATGTGAGATGGTCCCATTCTTTTTATCAGGACAAGGGAGCTCATTATCAAAGTTTATAATGTAAACTCTAGAAAAAGAAGTGGTTAAAAGAAGTATGGAGTGATTTATAATAACCTGCAAGTGTATAAAGGTTTGGAAGATGCAATGCTCAGGCTCTATTCACTACTAAGTTAGGAAGTAGCTGGAACACAAACGAAGACTTTACGAAAAGCAAAAGCTATAATTACACCTGCTGAGAGTCCCTCCTGGCAGATTAATCAAATGCAGTTTAGCTGCAGTGAAGCTTCCAGCTGCCCTGTCTCTTTAAGAGTCCCTGTCACAACCAGATTAACATTTAGAACTATGGACTTGGCCTCTCGGTGCTGACGGGGAGAAGCTGACAGTTTTACTTAGATCTTGTTGACATTTGTTTTCTCTTCAGATTTAGGCATTGGAGACCTAATTCCTGTGGATGTCGACCACTTGAACATTTGTAAGCCAAAGGAAAAGGGTGCTTTTTTGTACCAACGTACCTTACAATTCATCCGTGAAGCTTTAGCCAGAGACCTTGAAAACTGACCACTATCTTCCATTTTTCATGTGAACGCAGTGCAAGAAATTTGATGTTCTTTGTGTGAGCAGTCGTGCAGCAGTCGCTATGGTGTCAGCGTGGTGTGGAGCATGTTGCCGGCAACAGAATACCCTGTAGGCACAGAGAGGTGGCAGTCGGAACGACGGGCTAGACGGGGCTCTTTTGATTTCAAGGAATTCCACGCGTGCCAGTGTATGTTTTGCAGTGTTGTCCCTGGTGAGCAAGCTGCTATGGGTAGAGAATGCCTTTTGTCACCTGTGACTGTCTATGGCTTATGCTGGAGGAACACTGATGGCTTCTGAAGGGATAGCAAATCGCCAGCTTACCATAGCAGTGCCCTTGGGAGAGTGCCTAGAATGGACAGGAGAGTGACCTAGAACATAAAAGGTTCTGTTTTTGTTTTGGGTTTCCATGTGCTGTAAATTTTTACTGACATGTAAGTATAAACCTTTGTCTAACATGAATTTTGTTAGACCTGTTGTCATCCATGGGTCAGTTCCTTGTAAGTTTTTATTTTCATATGGCCGAGAACAAATATTTCTCTTTTTAAAAAAAATCTAGCTTGTAGTAATTCTTTCCAGACGTTAGCTACCTATACTTGGAATTTTTCCCAGATAAAGTAGCTAATCCATTATTGACCAGTGTGAATAAAACTATTCTGAGCCATTATATAGATTAGCAATACTTAGTATCAGTATTCTCAGATTCTCTTTAGGCTAAAAAAAATATACCTTTCTCTCTGCTCATCTGACCTCCAGCATGTGAAAAATGGGAAATCATTTTGACTTTTTCTAAATAATAGCATTATTGAGGTATAATTCCCATTTCATAAAATTCACCCTTTTAAATCGAGTTTGTTGATTTTTAGTATACTTAAGAGTTGTGCAATCACCCCCACTCATTTCAGAACATTTTCTCATCCCCCCAAATTACCCCATGACCATGAGCAGTCACTCCTTACTTTTTCTACCCCAGCCCTGGCAAACACTATCTACTTGGTCTCTATGGATTTGCCTGTTTTTAATTTTTCATATAAATGGATTCATACAGTACGTGCCCTTCTGTGTCTGGCTTCTTTCTCTTAGCATGTTTTCAAGGTTCATCCATGAGACGGCATGTGTCAGTACTTCATTCCTTTTTATGGCCAAGTAATATTCCATTGTCTGGATATACCACACTTATTTTTTCATTCATCAGGAGATGGATGTTTAGATTCCAATTTTTTGGCTATTATGCTGCTGTGAACATTCATTACATTTTTTGGTGTGGATGTTTTCCATTCTCTTGAGTATGTACTAGGAATGGGATTACTGGGTCATATTAAGCTTATATATACTATTTAGAAGACAATGGACATTGTAGAATGGGATAGTCAAAGTTAAAACTGGAGTACAGAATCTGGCAATAAACTGAAGTCAACAGTAAGCCACAACCTAACAAGTGACTTAACCACTTGTGTTATGTAGATGTGATGGTTAGCCTACAACAGTAAGTAGCAACAGTAGCGCTAACTAACGGGGTGACATGGGGAGAAAGGTGTTTGGTTCATTTTTTTTTTCTGTTCTCCAGGAACCGTGGCACATAAACCATGGTTGAAACAATTGTTCATTAACTTAGAGTAATGCAATGAAACCCTACTCCTTAAAATCTCAGTATAGCTTTTATAGCTGTGCTTGAAAGATAAGGTCCGGGAGAGAGATACAATGTAGTACTAAATTACTATAGTTTTTCAGGCAGGTCACTTAACATTTCTTTTTATTCTGCCTATGAAATGGATATAATGTACACAGTTTCACTTTATCAGTTTTGTGAGATTTAAGGCAGTAATGTTTTTAAAATAACGATTGCCCGAAAAACACTTTAAGAACACAAAGTATGAAAACACATGTAGTTGAAGTAGCTTCAGACTTAGACCATCAATAAAATGGTTCTCCGAGTTTAATCAGCTTGGTTTAAATACCCTTTCTGAAAAAAGTTCAAATGAAGCTTTATCTTGCCTTTCCCCTCATGTGAAAAGTCACTTTGAAATGATCTTGTTTAAGAAGGAAGTAAAAAGCCCAGCCGGGCGTGGCTCAGCTGTTGAGCGTCGACCTAGGATCCAGGTTCCATTCCCATCAGGGCACATGCCCAGGTTGTGGGCTCGATCTCCAGCAGGGGGCGTGCAGGAGGCAGCCGGTCAATGACTCTCATCATTGATGTTTCTATGTCTCTCCCTCTCCCTTCCTCTCTCTGAAATCAATAAAGATATAAAGTAAAACAAATAAATAAAGTTTAAAAAAAAGTAAACAGTATAGGTATTACAGAACAAACTACTGCAAGCAAGCTGTAAATAAAGCAGCCTGAAAATGGAGTCAGCTATCCCTACTTAACCTATTATTTTCTTTCTTATCACGTACCCCAAACCTAAGAGATTACATAGTTAACCCCAAGTTTCAAGGGCACCGAGTCCCCTTTACCCTAGTGTTTAAATCAGAGGTCACCACAGAAAGAGACTTCAAAAAGGAGGGTCATGATACCTCTCTGGACAGCATCTTGGCTGTTCACCCAAGGTCACACCGGCAGTGGAAGGTGGTGGAGAATGCAGGCCTCTGCTCAGTGAGAGCGAGGGTGTTGGGCACCAGCTTTTATTTCCTACTGAGAAAAACAGTACAGTAATAAAGTGATGTGTATGGTTTTTTTTTTTAAACTTGGTTCATAATTCACAAATTCTGATTCCTAAAATTTGAGTTTCAGGCATAGCTTTCTGAATTTTCATCCCTTTGTAATATCAAGTACGTGTATGATTTTGTTTTTATTGACATTTGGTAAAAAAATTATGTCCATGAAAAAAATTTAAACATGTTCAATAAATGTCACTTTAAAGTACTTACTCTAGCTGATTGTGCCCTTATCTTGGATGTTAAACACTCCCAATAGCTAATCACTTAAAATCAAAAATTTGTTTATGAAAAGTGACATTTATTATGAATTACCTTAATAGACCAGAAGACATAAATCAGTTTAATATCTAAGAAATTTTCAAGTTTAGAACAAGCCATTCTTGTAAAAATTCCACTTCTTAATCTGCATTCAGCTTGGCCTTGGAGTTTAGAAACAGCCCATGGAGTTCAGTACCTGGCCCCAGATTGTGGAAACACTAAGCTTACTAGAACCTTTTGCTTTCTGGTTTAGTCCTAACTTCATTTCTGGATGGTAAAGCTAACATATAATGAACGTCAGATGAGCCCAGATTCCTTGGCCCATTGAGTGCCATGTGAATGCATTCTCCAGGCGTAAATGGTTTTTGTCATACATACATCTATAATTTAGATTTCAGAATATTTTAACATCTGTGATGATTAGATTTAAACATTGTAAAGAGTTCTGGTCCAAGGTGGTGACATAGGAGGCTCCTGAACTCACCTGTTCCCATGGACACCAAACGTACAGCTACACATGGATCAGTTCCCTCTGAAAGAAATTCAGAAACTAGCTGAGCAACTCTACATACTGAGTGAATGAGAAAATGCCCAAATCACACTGGGTGGCAAAGGCTGAGACAGACCTTCACCATGAACCCATCTCCAGCACTGAGGCGCAGCTGAGGGAACAGCTCAGCTCCCCGAGGGAAGAAGGGTTTGGACCCAGCATCTACCGCCCACCTAAGACTTCCACCCAAAGGATGGACCTCTTCTCACAAACTTGCGTACTGATTAAATGCAGGCATAGAAGGGAAAAGGGGAAATACTGGAGTCTGACTCCAGCGCGTTCTCGGGTAAAGGACCACCATGCTCAAGCCTGGAGCAGCCCGGGAACAATGTTAGTCAGCTCTAGTTCCATCCGCCTAGGGTAATTTTAGGTAAATTAAGTTCAGTACATTATACAATGACATATTACTCATCTAGTATTTTACTACACATTACACAAACATTTCTAGAACAATGGATAATTTCTGGATAGGTTTTGGGTGAATTTTTACCATTTTTTACTTTCTATAATGCTGAGTTTTTGTATTTGGTACACAATTTTCTCTTAAAAAAAGGCTCTATAGAGGTCAAAATCCAAATCAGCCACATTACTCAAGTTACTGCAGCATAAGCTAGAGTGTACCTTAGATTTCATAGAACAGAGAGAAGCTGAAATGTCAGTGAGGAAGAAATCTTACAAATTGTTACAGACTTCTGCTTTCAGTAAGAGCAGGCTTGATCATTTGGAACAGCCTCCCAGTAAGGACAACCAAAAAATCCGGGTTACATGGTTTTAATTGATCAAAGTGCTGACAAGAAAATAGGGAGTTACCAAAAAAAAAAAAAAAAAAAAGGAAAAAGCAAGAAACCAGAGACCTGCAGTCAAAACTACTTTTGCCTGAAGCAGGGATGCCACTACCATATCCTGCAGCCCCTCTGTGCAGACGGTTACCAAAAAATGCCCCCTATGGTCAGGTCCTTTCTTCCTCCAGCACATGGCCCGCTCACCCCCCTTAGCTGGGTGTCTGTGCAAGGCCCCCCCCTGAGGTCACCTGCAGAGCCAAAAGGAACAACTGAAAAATTGAGCTGTGGTTTTGGCAAATCCCCAGTGTGAGGGGACAGAGGTCAAAGTTCAAGGCTTCCCAGTGGAGTCTGATAATCCCACGTGCTCGTTAAACTGGGACAACAAAGGGCCATATGTACAAAGTAAGGGTGCCCCAGGAGTAGACATCCTGTGTCCAAGATGCCTGCGTCGTTGCCTTCTGGTAAGGACCCTCCTCCTAGTTCAAAGCTGAGGGTTCCTGTGCCCTCACCTGGTGAAGGGATGAGGGATCTCTGTGGAGTCTCTTTTATAAGGACATTAATCCCATCATGACCTGAGTACCTCCTCAAGGCCCTACCCCCTAATACCACCAGCTTTAGGGTTAAGATTCCAACATAGGGAGTCTGTGGAGACACAAAAATTCAAACCATAACACCTTAAGAATAATAGTATATATATAAAAAGAAAACAAGAGTATATAAATGGTGTATCTGATAACTGATAGCATATTAGGTATATTAAAGTACAGTAAATTAGAATTTTATGAGAGTTGAGCAAAGCTGCTGATGCAGTTAATAAACAAAAATCTTATAGTTAAGTATACTAGCAAACCAAGCAACTGAATTTTAAAGAAATAATTGTTATATATAATCATGGTATTAAGGTTATAAAAGAAAATGTTATTTAGAGACACATATAAGAAGTATTTAGGAGTCCGGTAATCCTGATAACAGAATTACTTTACAATGTTTCAGTAAAGGAAATAAAGCAAATATAGCAAAATGTTAATTACTATTAAATCCTGGTGATGGATACATGAGGGTTCAAACTATTCCCTCTGATTTCATACATGTTTGAAAATTTTTATAACAAGTTAAAAACTTTGAGAAACGTTAATGAAATCCTTAGATGGAGAAATATACCAGACTCTCCACCATGAAGAGCCACCATTGTGAAGAGGCCCGGCCTAGTCCATGCAGCCCGTCGAGAATTCCAGCGGGCTTATCTTTCAAAACGGATCTTCGCAGACTGACTCTAAAATTGACATAGAATTACAGAGGGGTCAAGCACAGCCCAGATACTCTGGAGAAGGGGAACAAGCAGGGAGGTTTGCTTTACCGGGCGGCAAAGTGAAGTGGGACAAGACAATCGGGTGTGGGCGCGGGTGCCCGCGGGGCGGGGACCCGGAGCGGCCGGTGCGGGCTCGGGAAGCCTCCCGCAGGCCCACGCGCTGTGAGCACGGCAGGCACTCAGTGTGCGGAGACCGAGCAGAGGGCACAGCCCGAGCAGCGCTTATTCAACAGCCTGAGGAACCGGTGAGAACGGGGCCCATGGCGCTGCAGCTGGGAGCCTGCACCCCCGGCCTGCCTGCAGAAGGACCCGCACTGCCTACCGAGGAACCGGCGCCTCGGGGCGCTCTCCTCGCCTCTCTCTCGCTCTTGTACCCTATGACGAAAAATCATTGTATTTTAGTGATGAAATCACTTCGAAAATCCATCCTGTGCTTGACCACAGAGTAAACCTTAATAAAATTGAAAACGTAGATGTTTATATACACCTGGGCCATAGTCTCAGGTCATAATCCAATAAAGTTAGGAGTTAACAATTTAAAAATGCCGAACAAACCCCGATTCCTGGAAAATCATGCAGCCTCCCTTGGATCAAAGAGAAAATAAAAGTAAATTACAACTTAGCAATTCATGAAAAGAATATTTCATGCCAAAATTTGTAAGGTGCCGTTAAAGCTATAATCGGGAACATAGGTAGCTTTAAATCTTTATTGTTAAGTAAGAAAGACTAAAAATAATGGAGCCCAGTGCTATTTCCTAATTAAGAAATTAGGAAAAAAACAAAATTAAATAGAAAGTTGAAAAGGCGTGCAAATTAAATAAGGTGGGGTTAATAAAAAGTGTTTTTAAAGCTGACAAAAAAACTTTTAGAAAGCAATAGAAGGTCTATAATAAATACCAATGTTATTTCAAAATCTCAACAAAACTGAATAACCCCTTGAGAAACCTAACTAGAGAAAGTGAGCGCGGTGTTTTGTTATTTAATAGGTGGAGTATAATAACTATTCCTCAGGAAGGTGAGGCTGGGCCCCTGCCCCGCACCACTGACAAACTATATTCCAGGTGCTCTGAAGAGCTTCCATTAGCCCAGGCAAGCCTGCGGTCGAACCACTCTAACGGGTTTATTTAGATTTCTGTTGCCCACGACTATCATCTACAGGATAAAATCCTAAATGTCATTTAAGGTCCTCTGAAGTTCTTTCCCATCAGCTGACATCCTTTCCAGGTACACAGATCCGCTTCGCTACTCGTCAAATTCTTCACCCTTTCCTCTCCCAGCTTCCTGCTCCCCTGTCCCCTGCTCGCAGTCCCCTCGGTGCTCTCCTCCCTCCGAGTTAGAGGCGATTATAGGACACAAACAGTCGGCCTGTAACGGCGAGTTTCAAACCTCTCTCTTCCTCTCCAACCAGGTCCCAGGGCTGCGCATCCACATTAAATGACTTCAGAATGGTACTTACTGGTCAGGAAGGACTAGCCATCTTTATTATTTCGAGATTGTCAGTATAGTCTCATTCCTGAAAATCATTAGAGAACATTTTTAATATATATTTCGTGTTAATTAGCCGAAAACAAGCCTTGAAGATTAACTCTCTTCTGTCTCTACGAAGCAATGCATTCAAACCCATCGAGCAGTCTAAGATTTCACAGGTTTGCTCTAAGTTCCTACAGAAAGTGAATTCCAGCCTCTCTCACATCATACAGATATTGTAGCATAAAGTTACAATACATGTTGCCATAATGGTCACTAGTGGCATTATTCAAGTCGTAAATTCTTAGCCAAATAAGTTCTATGCTTTTTCAACTCAGTCTGATAGTTGAAAAAAGAACCAAAACCAGAAACTCAAACAGAGGAATAGCCAGTAGTCACACTTCACCCAGAACAGAAGGCTAGCCAGAAAAGATATCCCAAGGTTCTCTTCATATCTAAAAATAAATACGCCGAATTAAAAAATAAAGACAAAACATTTAATAGGTATTTTTTACAATTTCAGTACAAATGATCACTTCAAATAAACATTACAAGGTTTTTATTAATTGCCGGTCAGTCAATAAATAATTTTTACGGCTTTCCTTTCTGATGAAATCACTTCATTATAAAGAGAATGTTTTAATACATTACTTTGCTTATACTTATACATGCCAGCGGAACTGTATTAAGTGTCTTGAACTTCAACAACTTTAAAACTTTTACAGGAATTGCTTAGGCAGAAGTCCTAATTTCAATCATTTACTGGAACGAATTTTAAAAATAGGCAAGAAGTCAGAGATTAAGATGTAGAAGGGAATATAGTAATTGGATTCATAGAGACTGTGTTGACTTGTAAAAAGTACCCTGCCTAAAACACAGAACTGCAGTGAACTGTAATGTCTTACAGAAAAGTAATGAAATAAACGACAAGGTCACAGTAAAAAGCCCTGTATGGGGGCATCAAAGAAAAACTAAAAATACAAAAACCGCAGAATGAAATCCCCAGGATGGCAGCCGCCCATTATCAAGATTATTCAACTGACTGCTGCTAACCTAGGAAACCTACAACTATTAAGCACTGATTTAAAAAATAAATAAGGCAATTCCAATTGTCTTTTTTTTTTAAAAGAGAAAGTTGGTGTGAGAACCTTACATATCAACTCCAAATCCTCTCTATGAGTTGTTCACTAAACTTGAACACTCATGATCAAATAATATTTGTTCAATTCTTCATGCTAAACTACTTGTCATTTTTCTTGTGACCTGCCTCCCAAGGTGAACACGATTCTGTGCATTACTATTTACTGTCGATTCTATTACCCATGCTGCTTGCTACTTGTGTGCCAAGCACCTATCTTAATTGAAATTGTTCTCTGTACCATTTACTGGCTATTGGCTTTCTAGAACAAAGAAGAAACCCGAGAATTAGGCATGTTCCCAGCACTGCAAGCAACTGTTGTGGTACCGACTTCCTTCTGACTGTTGGTGGGTCTGCTTTCAAATTCACCTCCTTTGGTAGGAAAAGGGGTTAGAGAGTAAAGAGCGTTTGCATTAAGAAATCTTTGCTTCCATTTCCAATTGTGCCCTTTGTAGCAATGTGACTGCATGTAAATCATTTAACTTCTCCAAGCCTATTACCCATGCTGCTTGCTTTCTCCCTCTAATGCTTTCAAAGATTAGGCTGTTTACTTGTGTTTGTTAAAGAGGTAAAAATGATATAAAGTACTTACTACAGAAGGTGCCCTAACACCTTGGGTCAGAAACGCCGTCATTTATGACCGGTCAACTCACGCATTCTCTCAATGGGTCAGCAATACCTTTTTCTTTGATCAGTTTTCAGATGAAATGAGACAATGTGGTAGTTTTGTTTTTGTCTTGAGTGCCATATTTAAATAATCTGCAGTGCACCTTGATGATAGTGGTAATGAGAAATAATTCTGAAAGCCCAGAGGTCTGATCAGTAAAAAGAGAGTGCTATTCCCTGGGCAAGACAATCCCTGCCATCCTAACCATTAGCATTTAGTGTATGAATTTCCTGGTCACATCAGCGATAACAGATGCATTGCTGTATGGTTCTATGACCTGGAAGACTCCTCCACAGGGCATGTGACACACTGAGATTATGCCGTGAATTTCTTATTAGCAAAAATATGGTATTTGCTCCAAATGAAACTCCAGGCCTTATAACATTATTTTTAAAATGTTATAGTATGGTGTTGTCTTTCTGAATGATTGGATAGGCAATAAGTGCTTTGAGAGACGTATAGGAAAAATGTAGGTAAAAAATAAACTTAACAAACATACAGATAAGCAAACCCAGAAATGCTGCCCTGGGGTTTCTTATATAAAGAGACATGTGGTACTTTCTTTCCTGAAGCTACAGCCGGACAGACCAGGCGAAAGCAGATATTCATCATATTGTAACAATGACGATCAGTATCATGTGTCAGTAGGAGTTCTCATGTTTGTGTTTTTACCAGGTATGGAATATAAGGGAAGAAAAGAATTAACAAGATTTCCTTTAAAGAGGGCTAGAAAGTGTGTAAAAACCGGGGTAAGCAGTACACCAGGGCTCAGGACTGTAGCAGTTATGGGGCATGTCTGAGGACGCAGGAGGCTTTAATGGGTTTAAGCTCGGTTTAAGCTAATGGTATATGCTTCAGAACCCAACAAGTGTAGACACCATCTGTGCATGACCAAGGTTAACATACATGTACATAAATAAACCAAGGGCTCACACAAGAGAACGGACGCCCAGTTGCTGAGTTGGCCTAGTTGCTGCTTCTGTCTCTGATTTCTCAAACCTGGTGTTAGTGGGCTAGGTACCAATTTTAATGGTCCCAACTACCTTTTAGTGTGATCCTTACTTTCTGTATCAACCTCCAGGTGGTGCGCAAAAAAAAAAAATTATTCCAAATCTGTAAAATACAAACAAAATTTAAAAACACCACATACACACATAAATTGAACCATTTAAAACTCGACGGCAGAGAACTTAGGCATTACCAGCTAACTCCCTTGTCTAAAATGCACACGCTGACTCCTACAGGAGCTTTCGACACCCAAGAGGAAACTCGAAATGCACGAGCCGGGAATAAAGCGTATCTCGGCGGCCGAATAATAACCTTACTGAACATGAGACACAGTGTTGTAAACCACGCGAGGGACAGAAGTGTGCCTTTAAGTAGACGTCTCTTTTGACGGGGGCGGAGGCCATGGGCTTTCCTCTGGAAGGTGATGCCTAAGGGAAGAAGGCACACATGCTGCAAGGGAGTGCTGTCGACGGCTCCCACTCAGTTTTTTGCCAGTGGGTCAAACACCTGCAACACCATCCTCTTGTCCTTGTCACTGATAGTTGCCCAGTGTCCCAAGTCCTTTTGCCTGTGCTCTTGTGGCGGCTCCTCCGCAGCTGAGCCACTGACTTGCAGTGGGGCTGCGTGTGCCCTTCCGAGGTTCCTGGTCCCCGAGTCCAGCGGGTCAGAGCTCTTAGAAAGCCAGGCGTTGTTCAACAGGTTAGGGTGGTGGAGAAGGCTCCAGAAGGGGTCCTGACAGTCACCCAGGAGGGAGGCCGCCTCCGGCTTTGGCTCCTTGGGGCCACCAGTCTGGGGGCTCGCTGGCTGTGGAACGAGAGCGCCCCCATCGGGCTCGTAGGCCGGAGGACAGTCGCTGCTGAGGCTGCTGCCGGCGAGGTCCTGGAGGAGCTGACTGTGGGTCTGCAGGACCTGCAGGTGGAAGGCGGCGGGGGCAGACTTCTTCCTCCTCGGGGGCACCTGGGGCACAAGAGGCGAAACCTCCAGAAGGGGTGGCGCAGCCACGGCAGGGGCGTCGTCTGGCGCTGGCTTCCCTACGCTCGGCCTCCTCTCGGCACCTTTCCCAGGCTGAAGCGTTCTTGGTTTGGGAACAGGAGGGACTGTCACCGAAGGAGGGGTTTCCAGGCTTGTTTCCGGGGGCCCGATTGTAAAGTGGACAGTCTCTTGCCCATATTGGTCTTCTGGTGACATGGGCTGAGAAAAGGCACGACAGAGTGTAAGTAAGAAGCCAGCATGGGGGGAGTCGGGAATCAGCATTCAGACAGTGTCAGCCAGGAGCTGAGAGGGGGCTAAGCGCACATTCTAGCAAATTCGAGATTTGAGAATGTCTGGGATGCGGCGATGTGACCAGGTACAGAGAACACAGCAGAAACACGCACATTTATCAAGCAGTACCAGCAGGGCTAGTGAAACATGAATGGAAACTTGAAAACCAGGGCCACAGCGAATAATCTGAGACGGGTTCTCCTTCGCTCCCTTAGGAAACGTGGTCACCCTCTCTCCTTACTGAGAGTGAACCTCTCTGAAACGCAGTCTGAGCTTTGATAATCCACACTGAAGTCACTCATGCTCTGGCGTCAGGCTAACTGAAGGACTAACGGAGATACTTGCTCCTTGCATTGTGATGTTTAATTTTACAGACACTTTACTTCCTCGGTTCTAATTCAAAACCATCCCAAAGACTAAAGCCGCGCGAGGCGAAAGGAAGCTTTGTACCAAAGCGGCTACCGACAGCTTAGTCACCGACCCTTCAACGTTTCCTTTGGTTCTTTAGAAAACAAACATCAAACACAGCCCCTTCTCCGGCAGCCCCTGGCTGTCGCTCCTGTGCAGCGGGTTGGGAAAATGAACTGGTTTCTGCCCCTGGCTTTTACGAGAAAAGACAGAGCGAGTACAGGGGGAAAGGAGGAAAATGGCAGATGCAACGAGCCAAAGTGAACAGAGGAGAGAGCAGGCTGGGCATGAACGAGGCACCAGGGCCACGGCTCACACATCCACGGGTGTAAAAGCAGCAGTCATCTGTCATGACAGCAAGAGGTTACCGAGTGTCCGGCACTAGAACACTGAGGTCAAACGGAAGATCCAGATGCCTCTAGAGGTGCCAGTCTTTGGGCTGCTACTGTCCTGACAAACTCATGTCTCTGAAGCAGCAAGCAAGGCTGAGAAGCTTGAGAGCGAGAGCAGAACACAATCTGCAAGAAAAGTGGCAAGAAAAGCGGTGGAACCTCCAGCATCCGAGGCCGACACTGCTCACCTAGGAACTGGTACTGTTTTAATGCAAACAAAATCTGTCCACGCGAAACCTGCACACACGACACAGACGGCACACAGACGGGACATTCTGGAACCCTTGAATCAAGCATCCCACTGTGGTCCAATGTGGGGCTCAGCCTGCAAGCCGTTCCTGTCCTGGTGGAAAATTCCTGGTTTTTCTGCTCAGCTAGAGCCAGGAATTATGGAGGAGAAAGCAATTGCCAAGCATTTTCCCAAGGATGGGGCTGTGTCAGGGACTCATGAATGTTTATGGAGAGACAGACTCAACAGAGATGTGATTCTTATCTAACAACTTTCGAGCAGCTCAGGAGAAAGAGGCGGATGCTACCGGTTCTTACCTTCCCGGTCCTCCTGAAGGTTGGCTTCTTCATGGCAGGGACTCTGGGTGCAGGCCGGCGGGGCAGGAGCGGGGGAGCCCCCACCACGGGCTCTGGTCTGGAGGACCCTTGGTCCCCCAGGGCCACGACATTTGGGACTTCTCCTGGGGTGCCTGAAACATACAAGTTCATGGCTGAAGTGCACAGGATCAGGCAGTTTGCTGCATGATCTAATCTACAGGCAGTCTATATCCTGAGGGTCATTTACTAATGCAGTGTGTTTCTTTTTTTCTGAAAAAAGACATTTGAGGGTTATCAGGACAACCAGTTGGGTTTGGCCTCCAGCTTCTCACGCTCACCTTCCAAACAGGGATGGTGAGCGGGGTCCATAGAGGATCAGTGACGCCCTGATGATTTGTGTGTGCGTTTCTCATGGGAGATGATCTAAAACTCCTCAAAATCGCAGCAGGGCCCATGACCAAGAAAATGTTAAGTTCAGACTCCAGGTGGATTTCAAACCTCAAACCTCTCCTAGCCTCCACAGCTATAGAATAAAAAAAAAAAAAAAAAAAAGGCAACATGGCCTGGCTGGAGTGGCTCAGTTGGTTGAGTGTCATCCTGTGAACTGCAAGGTTGCTGGTTCAGTTCCGGGTCAGAGCACATATCTGGGTTGCGGTTTCTATCCCCGGTAGGGAAATGTATGGAAGGCAACTGATTGATGTTTCTCTCTCACATCAATGTTTCACTCTCTGTCTCCCTCTCTCTAAGCATGTCCTTGGGTAAGGATTTATATATATATATATATATAAATGTATACGTATACACACACATACACATATATATGTATATATAGCTCTGTATAGCAATATGATTTACATGCCATAAAATATACCCTTTTAAAGAATATAATTTGTGATTTTTAGTGTATTTACAAAGTTCTACAACCATCACCACTGTCTAATTCCAGAACATCTTTATCACCCCAAAAGAAACCCCTTACGTACCCAGAGCACTCATTTGTCATTCCCTCCTCTCTCCTGCCCCTGGAATAAATTTCTGTCTCTGTAGATTTGCCTATTCTGCATACTCCATACAAATGGAGTGGGGGTGTGTGTGCTATACACATAGTATACTATCTTCAAGATTCACCCATGGTACAGCATTTATTAGTACTCTATTCTTTTTTATGACTGAATGATATTCCATTGTATGTTTACACCACATTTCATCCATTCATCAGTTTATGGACACTTGAGTTGTTACATACAATTGTAATTTTATTTTAAATAAAAAAATGGCCCTGGATGGGTAGCTCAGTTGCTTAGAGTGTCATCCCAAAATGCTAAGGTTGTAAGTTTGATCCCAGGTCAAGGCACATACAGGAATCAACCAATGAATGCATAAATAAATGGAACAACAAATCGATGTTTCTCTCCCCCTTCACTTCCTCTCTCTAAAATCAACAAAAATTAAAAAAACAACATATAAATTTATTTTTTAATAAATATTTTTAAATAAATTTAAATTAAAAAAGAAGCCACTTGAGATGATGTTATCTTACAACAGTGTTTGTCATCCCCTCTTTCTTTTAAAAAATGTATTTTTATTGATTTCAGAGACAGAAAGGGACTGGGAGAGAGAGATAGAAACATTAGTGATGAGAGAGAGTCATTGATCGGCTGCCTCCTGCACATCCCCTGCTGGGGATCAAGCCCGCAACCCGGGCATGTACCCTGACCGGGAATCGAACCGCGATCTCCTAGGTTGATGCTCAACCGCTGAGCCACGCCCGGCTGGCCAATATATAACTTTAATTGGACAATAAATCTTAGTAGTGGAATCTCATAAAAAAAACATGGCATTTTCTCTTTTCGGCCCCTTTTAATAGAAATATTAAGAGAACTGGATTTCCCCCTGGGAAGGGGAGTCTGGGGAGCACCTACCTCCTCCGGCTTCCAGGAGACATCGGATTGCTGCTTCTGCCTCCTGAGCGTTGGTAGTTTTGATCTGCTTCACATTATAAGGTTTGCTTATCCCGGTCCTAGCTTTGGGCTTGAGGACAGACGAAGAAGAGAGGCGCATTAACGCAGGCAGGGAAACAGCCTCGCCTGGCCAGCTCACTGCCTGCTGATCTGGGGCCTGCTGATCTGATCTGTGATTAACACACAGTCCCATCCAAACCACATCCTCAGGCCTCTTTTTCCCTGGGAGCACTTGCTACCAAGAGGAGGAATGCAACAGCATCTCGAAGGGAGGACCCTTGTCTCCCAAACCGGGTGGTTACAGGTTTGTGCAATGTGGACAGGCCATCCTCTAACTTTACTTCAATAACCAGGAACGAGCCAGTAGCATATCGGAAGCCATCCCTTCTATGGCCCAGCTGAGTTATTAAAATGCCTTCCAGATATATTTTCTTGAAAGTGCATTTTCTACCTCTTCACCCAAACCTCTGGGTCCCCTAGATGACCTGCCTTCATTCCTGTAAACCATGGATGTACGTGTAGTCAGCCCCCTGCTCCTGCTGTGACCGCGTGTGCATCTGGCCCAGCCCCTCCGCACTGTCCTGGGACAGAGCTTCCACCCAGCAAGCAGGCTTCTCTTCCCTTGTCCCTCACCTCAAATCCATCCATCCTCACCTACAGTCTTTAGCAGCTCAGTGCCATCCTCTGGGGCTCTCCACCTCTCCACCCTACAACACTGTTATTACTCCTAGCGCCCTGTGTTACTTAGGCCCACTGAATCTCTTTTAGCCTCTCCTCTTAACTAACTTTACTCCAGAGTGATCGTAATTTTGTCTGGACAATGGATCTGAATTTCTCCTGTTTTCCCTTCTACCAAGCACTGCTCTATACAAGCAGGTGAGTCTGGAAACCAACAATCCCGCCACACAGGGACACTTGGATTTTTCACCAACGTGATTTCTCTCCAGTGCCCTGCATGTCCATTTAAAAGCCCATAAAACACCTGCTACTAAGTTATGGGATTTGGGGATGAACTGGTGGACAGTTAGAGGGTTAAAGAGATAGAAATCTATATATTCCATGAAAAGGGGTGATTCCCGGGTGATCTTGGGGGCTGAGGATGAGCCACGGGGCCGACTCCTTGGATGTGAAATGTCTCCATTTCACTTTGAGCTGAATACAGAAGAACTCACCGCTTGCTGAGGTGCTCCTGGCAGCAGCTTTGCCGTCTGCAAAATCGAATACTGCCCATGGGTGCCGGAGATGGACACGTCCGAGGCCGACTTCTTCACCATTAAACCTGCTGTATAACCAACAAGGGCACAGTCTTAGTCTCAGTGATGTCACTGAGCCCGCTGGGAGCAGGGCAGGCTAGAGAGGCTGCAGGCCCCGGAGCACCACAGGGGCAGTTAGGGGCTGAGTGTGCCCAGCCCACGGGCATCCACAGAGGCTACCGAGTGTTTCTGATTCTCTAGCAGCTCCAGTCTGTTAATGCTGATTTTCTGGAAAAGCATTATTTCAATTTAATGTTAACCTAATATCCTGGGGGGTTCAAATATGATATAAAGGTTAGTTCATTTTAAGTGGTTTATAATACATTACTGTTATTAGGACCAAATTTTTTAAATGTTTTGTGGACAAAAATCTAAAAAATCCCAAAGCAGAGAAATAATCCATGTTAAATCATACTTGCAGCTTTAACAAGTCATGTCCTAAATCAACATTTAATGACATGCACATTAGACAAAAGACAAATGGTCAAACAAAATGGATATCAATTTTGTAAAAAACATGAAAATAAAAATTGCCTGTGGATGTAGATACGTATAATTGGAGAAAGGCTGGAAGTCTTATGGTTCCCAGTTATTATCTCTAGGTAGTCAAGTGAAATTAAAAATTTAATTTTTTAGTATAATTTTTTAATATTTATCTACTTTTGTAAATTTTTCACAAAAATATGTAATATAACATTTAAAATTTTAATTTATATTTTATTTTCTGCATATTAACTCAGAAAAGTAAAAAATATGCTTAAAAAGTCACATGCTTCTGGCTTGCCATTGATTACTCTTGTGACATAAGCCACACCGAACCCAATTCTGGAAGTAAAGCCTTAGCAAAGTCTATGTCTAATTGTCAGTTTTGGGGGTGGGGGTGGGGAAAATGTAAATAGCAGAGGTAACTAGAAACTGATCAGAAGCATGTGGTGACTTTATTTTCCTGTTATTAATGCAAGTTTGATGGGAAAGCATTGCTTTTTGAGGGGCCAGGAATAAAAGCCCTCTCCCATGGAACCTGGGCTAGGGAGAGCTAGTCTGCAAGTCCAAGGAAGAATGCTGGGGCCCGCAGGCCTGGGCTCAGACAGGAAGGCGCCTGGTTAGAGGTGGGCTGCAGTCACCTTGCATGTTAGGGCACCTGGGTTTACTCTGGAGAGGGCTGGCAGCTGGCAGCAGTCAAGGGGCAAAGATTCTGAAGGAGGCTGGGGTGGGTAGGGGGGTGAGGGGGAAGATGCTAAGAAAATCCCTCGCTTGGCTGAGGCCCCAATTTTCCATTTTCTAAGGTGTTGAACAGAAAGCAGCTTAAAGCAAAGCACAGCTTCAGAAGGACCAAGAACAGCTTCATAAAGGGTCCCTTTAACCAGGCACGAGAAACACAGCTGCATCTCCGATATCAAACATCATGGACTGAAGACAGAAAGGGACCCGAGGGGGGCAGAGCGCGTGTGGGGCGGAAGGCGGGCGGAAGGTGATTAGAGCCATTGCAGCAGCAGGACATATGCAGTTATTCCCAGCAGGCGTGTAAGCCCAAAGCAGCAGTCTTACTTGGAGGGGGGGGTCTCTGCGGCGGGTGAGGTGGCCGAGGCCTGTTGGGAACCGACAGAGACCTACTTGGAGAACGGTGGTGGTCCCCAACAGCTTCCAGCTCCTGCTTTAGCTCCACCAGGTCGGCATCATCTGGAGGACACGGCGGAACGGGAGTGAGGTGAGTTGTGTGGGGCTCAGGTGTGCAAAGAGCCACCTGCGGCAGGAGGGGCTCCTGCAGGACAGCTGACGTGTCCCCCTGGCTGCTGGCAGGGGAGGGGGAGGACACCCAGTGCCTGCTGGGAATACTCAGTGAACCCTGGACAAGGTCTGTTGTCCAGACAGGAGAGACACCGAAAATTCTAGAGGATAGACATGCGTGTTTCCTTCTGAAATAATCAACGAGATGCCCACAGAGTAGAGGAGACAGTTGGAAACCAGAGCCCCTGTTTTAAAGCCCTCACTCTAAAAACATGACAATTATTCGGGACACTGAGAATCACCTCACTTCTCTGCCAGCAGGGCACCTGCTGTCCAGCGACAGCCCCAAGTATGAAGTGTCCTGAGCACTCAAGTCTCAAACACTGTTGCCAGGGCCAGCTCGCTGCTTCACAAATTCGTCATCCTGACCTGTCCTGCCAAACCTTCCGAGGCTAAGAGCCGCATGAGGAAGTGCCTGCTTCTGTTTTATTTCATTTACATTTCTTACATATAAATGCAGAACAATTTTAGGTCTTCCTTCCCACACTTCAACGCAGCCCGGTTCATTTCATTTTGGCTCAGACGCCCCATCCCTCAAATGCACAGCTGCACCCATGATCTGAGGCTGAGCCGGGAGCAGTGGGTTCTCCTAATGGGAACGTCTGAGCACCCTGAGGATGAGCCCATCCGGACGCTCACCAGGTGCTGGCAGCCCGCACAGCCCATTGCTCGTCTTCATTCAAAGGGGCATCTGTTCCCACGTCTGCCCTCTCGAGAGGCTGCCGGGACAATGACCACCCCTGGAGAAAAGGGCCACCTCTTGTCTGAGGGGCACATCCCTTCAGCCACATCCACTCCAGGGCAGGAGCCCTCCGGACAAGTCACGCACAGAGCTGCCTGGCGCTGAGGAAGGCTGCTGGTCCCATAACGGGCGGCAGTCCCCGAGCCCGGCTGTGCATCTCCATCCCCCGGGGATCCCCAGGACCCAGCCCAC